CTGTTCTGCATCCGCACCAAGGCAACAGCAGACATCAGCACAAAACTCCCACAGTCCAACTCACCAAACATCTCGGGCAGGTTTTGCAAGCTGTCATACAGCCTACAGTGCAGTAATTGCTGCTGGCAATACCCAACTGACTGCCTTCAAAGTGAAAGGATGCTAGCAGCCGCCTCGCAGACATACCTTTAGGCTGTGGTTCAGCACTGAGCCACAGCCCTGAGTAAACTATAACCACCAGTCTTTCTGTCTGCAGGTTTTGGTGCACCACTGGGCATTTTTTCCTACAAATTCTGCATCTTTACAGTGTAATAACTAAAATCTATACTTCTTTTTTTTTTTAATCTAGTAATTTCCTTATATCACAACAAAATAGCTATTAATCCAAAAGATGAGAAGACACGCTCAATCCAAAAGAATTCTAGAAACTGAGGCTGCCATGAGTGATGAGCTTACCTGACTGACCCCATAACCAACTTCCCTTGTCCACCCTTGATGGGATGTCACAAGAGGGAACAGTGAAAAACTGGGGTTTTATTTCTTCTGGTCCTGATGCATAGCAACCCCCCAGACACTAGCAGTGCTGCTGTCAGCATGGACAAAGCACAGCCAGCTTGATACTGCCTTACCTGAAACAAGAGCCCAGACTACACCCAATGCTGAGGAAGAAGACAGCCCTGCTTTGCTGCGTTGCCCTCTGCACTTCATGATGCAGCCCAGGACCTGGCTCACTGGCTGCTCCCTGCTGGGAAGAGGGACAGCAAAAATAGCAACCGATGTCCCACTAAAAAAATGCAGAATTAGCGCAGCTGCAGCTCTGAGCACCTTGAGATGGCAAGTTCCAAGCTAGCACATCCATCTGCAAAATCAGAACTTTAAATTAAAACAAGTGCACTGTCTGAAAGAGGGAAAGAAATATAAGAGGTAAGAGGCATTCGTGTGATAGGCCAGGTTATGCCTACAAAATTCTGAAATGGAAATTTACAAATCTCCTAATGATGATTCCTGAACAGCACTCCAGTCACTGCAACTGCCACAGGGTCTATGCGCAGCTATTGGAGGAGCACGGCTCCAGACCTGGAGGGTATCAGCTCACCTACACACTTCAGTTACTGGTGAGGCAGGACCTGAACAGACTTGCCCCCTCCAGAACAAAGACAACATTCTTTAAGCTCCTGGGTGAAGTTTGACTTCCATCACCACATAAAAGGAAATCTATTTAAAATGTGGGAAGTTGTTTCACAATTCTTGTCACTATGTAAACCAGTGGGTATTCAGTTCAAATTAATAACAACATAGACAGATAATGTTACTCAGGAAGATACCAGAAAACAAGCTAAGAAGGTAAAAAGGACGATCAGTTAACGCTGAAGGAACAAGTAGTGCAACATCAGAAAGCTTCCAGATCATGACTGAATTAACCCTTGTACTCAAAAGCAGCACATGAGAAAACACCAAACCCTCTGCTAGAGGAAGGTAATGGGCAGAGCAGAACGGAGGAGGAAGTAACTGACCAGGTACCTTTTAAAAAGTAGTATGACTTCAGATGAGACCTTTCAAGGAGCACGATGAACAAAGCATCAAATACTACATAGGCTATCCTCACTGTGTGCGAAATGAAGCCCTACTGCACCGCTGCCTTGTAGCCAGGATCTCCAAATTCTGTTCACTTGGACACAGGCTGGGAGAAGCACAATACCCTGGGAGACACTGCACAGGGAAGCACACTGACTAATCTTGTGAGGCCGCAGGCAAACAGCTCCACGTTTCCAGTGGGCCCCACAGCAGTGGGAAACATACAAGATCGGACTCAGCCTCGCTGCTCTTCTCAGGCTGCAGCAACAGCCACAACAGTGCCAAGCTGTTGATTTCATAGCACAGATATTACTTGAAAAAGACTTAAACATAAGAGCTAGCCACTTAGCTAATGAGAGTTCAGTTTAGGATTCTGTGATTTGTTACCACATAACCCACCTACAATTTGTTTAACTGTTAACAAACTGCAGGCATGCATGATCTTTAACACAGTTTGGAAATCAAAGATCATATAGCCTCCACCAATTAAATTCATAAAAATTAAGCATATGTCATAATAGACAGTGGCCACTGAGTTACAGTAATTCATGGTAATAGCTATACACTAAATTTAATTGTGCTTTGTTGTCAAGATGAGTGACAGGAAAGCCATCCTATTATTAGCTTATCCTAATTTTCTTAAAAGGAAAATTTTAAAAAATGTCTTTTGTCAGTGCAAACAAAAAAAATTCCATGTTGCCAGATAGCACTGGAATCCTTCAGGTTCACCATGCTGGTGTTTGCACTCTACAGATGTCTCCTGGGTCTCGTTGGTTCCGTGATACCTCCCACTGCACCTACCTCCAGTGCACTGCTTGGAAACTAAAGGACACATGAGCCCGCTGTAAATTCACCGTCTACAGAAGTCTTACCAAGCCACACCAGGCTGCCCTGTCAGCTTCCTATCAGCAGTAATCCCAACCCACGTGATCGCAGGAATAAATATATATCACACATTAGGCTTAAATGCAGGCTCTATAGCATGAGAATCCACTTATTTAAATATTCATTTTATAATTCCTCTACTAACTTACAGTAGTCTTAATGCAGTATTTTCAGCTAACATACATTGCTTTTGTAAGTAACCCATGATACATACATCATATTCCTCTTACAGAAATATTCAAAACTTTACACAGGCACTGTGCTTCCAATGATGGTCTTTATCATGAAAATTACTAGATATTCTTCAGTAATTTATCCCCAAGATGCACATTCTAAGTCATGTTTTTATACAAAGTGCCTTTAGTGGGAGCACTGAAAATTGCTTTTAACCGTTTGGTCTTACTACCGCCACAAATTAACGAGATGAAATCTGTCCAACAGGCAAACACTCCTCAACAAGAATTGAAATTACTTTTCACCAGGGGTCCTAAACCTGGAAGTTGCAGCCTCAATCAGATTAAGGACAGCAAGTCATGAACATCCTGTTCTTTTTGTATTTTTAAACAGGAAGGAGACCTCAGTCCCAGTGTTCTCCACAGCAGCTCTTTAGCACATCAAATCTCAAACTTGTAGCTATGCCAGCGTTGTGCAACAGTCTGGATATTAAAATAATCAAAAGGCATTCAAATATTGTCTTTAAATCTGCAGATAGATAATGTTGTATTCCACTGCTACACCAAAGGTTGCCTTCAGATTTATTCCAATGAGAATAAATGAGTCTTTTTTTTCTTAATCAAGCACTGCTAGAACAGGACAGTATCACATCATCTGAAAGAAATGTTACATGCCTGGTTAAAGACCTGCACACAGATACAGTTCTAAGTAACTGCACTATTACATGCTTCGGAATTTACCACAGTGCAGGGTAACTGCATCTTCTCCACCTCTGTCCCAAGACCAAAATATGAACCTTCAAATTCTGTAATTTTGTGAAAAAAATACAAATTGCTGAAAGGAAGCAGATGAAAAGACCTCCTCCATCTTAAAACAGAACATATTCATAACTTAAAATGCTCCTGTAATCCAATTATGTGTATTCACTGCACTGAGGGAAAGCCTACTATATTTTCATCACAATATTCTGTTGCAACCAAGACACGTAGATCTTTGCTGTTATTCCATATTGAAGCTGAAGTATTCAATCTTTTTAGCCAATCTGCAGGAATTATGCAGTTCCTTATGATAATATATAATTTTGGTACCTCAGCCCAGCACATGCTCAATTAATGGTATGCTGGACTTCTTTTGCACTGGAGCACATCAATTTTAAAAGAGCCTTAAGCTTGCTTACAGAGAGGTCTCACCATGAGCTGGGAATCATTGGACAAGGTTATGAAGCACCCACTTGCACATTAGGCCCAACTGACACCAATGGACCACAGAAATTATTCTTCACCAAACTGTGAACGTCAGTGGGCAGCGCAGCGGCGCAGGAGGTCGCCCTCCATGCAGACCATCCAGGGCACACCCACAGATCCTCCTACTGTTCATCCACATGAAGGCTCAGCTGATTACACAGATCTCCTGGAATTATCAGGGGTGCTATCTAAAGGCAGACACAGTGTAAATCCTATGTCTCACCTGGAAAACTGCATAAAGAACCACGTATATACAGTGGGGTTTTATTACTCTTAACTAGAACAACAGGTGACAGCACAGCACACTCCGGAGACACACGTCCTCTGTTGTAAGTGAGGAGCCAGCCTGCATACTTTAGAAACAGCTTTAAAAATGTCAGGCATATACAGAAAACAAGCAGAAAAACTGAGGGCGTGCGTGTGCTGAGCACAGCCCGAGTCCCGGAGCTAGCCGTGGCCGCGGAGGTCGGCCCGCCCGCGAGAGGCGCTGGACGTCATCTGCACGGAGAGGCGTCTCGAACTTCGTGCCGCGGCCGCGTCGGTACGGGCGCCCAGGCTCCGTGGGATCGTTCCTACGAAGCGCTCGGCTCTCTCGCCCCGCTTCCGAGGCGCACGGCTCAGCGAGAGGGCCGTGCTGAAGGCGTAGCGCTGAGCGGAGCCGAGCAATACACGGCCCGCCTCGCCTCGCCCCGCCGCACGGCGATAACGGTCCCCCAGGCGACGGGGCCGCAGCGCCCCCACGCTCGGGCCCGGCCCGCCGCCGCACGAGGGGCCCGGCCGCGGGGCGCTCCGGCCGCCGCCGATGACGTCACCGCCGTCACGTGCCCGCCGCGGCGAGCAGGCCCGGCGCGTGCCGCCCCCCCGCATTCCCCTACCCCTCCCCTCTCCTCCCCTCCCCCCCCCACCCCGTCCCGCTCTGCCGCCCCGGTCCAGGCCCCGGCCCCGCCGCGCCCCCTCCTCGCGCCCCGTCCCGGCCGCCGTTACCTTCTCGTGCTCCTGGCGGAGGCGGCCCACCAACTCGGGGCTGAGCGGCGAGGCGCCGCCGGGGGCCTCCATGCCCGCCGGGCCGGGCGCGGAGCCGGCAGTCTGCGAGCGAGCCGCTCCGCGGCGCGGAGTTAGGGGATGGGCGGCCGGGCCGGGCCGATCTCCTCAGCAGGGCGAATGAGTCCTATAGAAATGTTTGTGCAGGGCGAAGCGCCGGCTCCAGAGCCGCATCCACGCGGGGGCCGCCGCCGCCTGGGCCCGGGGCGCCGCTGCCGGGGGAAGCATCGCACTCACACTCTCATTCTGGGCCGCGCCGCCGCCTGGGCCCGGCTCCCGCTGCGCCGCAGGGACGGGACGGGACCGGGAGCGCCGGCAGCTGGGAGCCGGGAGCCAGCCGGCCGCCCGCCGCCGCCGCCGCCGCCGCCTGCCTGCTGCACTCTGGGTAGCCGGCCGGGCCCGCCGCGCCCGCGGGAGGCACCCGGCTGCGAGCCGCGAGAGGCGGGCGCTCCCCACCCCCTGCCCGCCGCGGGCCCCGCCGGATCCCCCCCGCTGCTGCCCGGCGGCCCCGCGCCGTTCAGCCGCCCCGAGCTGTGCGCGGGGCACAGGTGGGCGCGGGTCGCAGCGCAGGCCCCGACCCCTTAGGCCTCAGGTTCAGAAACGCATGTGTGAGGCGTTCGGGTCGATCAACAATCATATATTCCTAGGAGTGCGCAGATACATAACTATATATCATCTATAACAGGGAGGTTGTGTCACAGTCGCTGATCTCAGTGCCCGCTCCCACAAGTTTACGTTGTCGGGACTTTTGTGACCTGCAGGACTGCAGAACGGTTTTAAAAGATTAACGAATCAGATAGTGCAACACTGGGGCTTGGCAACGCAGAAAGGTTACTGCACAGCGAGGTGGTGGTGAATGGCTGCACTGGGAGTGCCACAAAATTCATCAGCTAACCTCACAAATGATATTAGACACAAAAATTACACAGAATCAAGGGATCATTAAGGTTGGAAAAGACCCTAAGATCATCTAGTCCAACCATCAACCCATCCCCACCATGTCCACTAACCATGTCCCTCAGTGCTGTATCTCCAGGTTTCTTGAATGCATCCAGGGACAGTGACTCCCTGCCCTGGGCAGCCTGCTCCAGTGCCTGACCACTTTTTCTGAGAAGTTTATCCTAATATCTAGCCTGAACCTTTCCCGGCACAATTTGAGGCCACCTCCTCTTATCTTATTGCCTTTATCTGGGAGAAGAGGCTAACCACCACCTCATTACCACCTCCTTTCAGGGCACTGTAGAGAGGTCTCCCCTGAGCCTCCTCCAGATTGAACAATCCCAAGTTCCCTCAACCATTCTCCCTAAAACTTGAGTTCCAGACCCTTCACAGCTTTGTATCCCTTCTCTAAACGCACTCCCATTCCTCAATATCATTCTTGTAGTGAGAGGCCCAAAACAACACAGTACTTGAGGTGCAGCCTAACTAGAGCTGAGAACAGAGACTATCACCTCCTGGTCCTGCTGGCTGCACTATTTCTGACATAAGCCAGGATGCTGTTGGCCTTCATGGCCACCTGGGCACACTGCTGGCTCACGTTCAGCCAGCTATTGACTAGCACTATCAGATAGTTTCATCTGTGCAATTTTCCAGCCACTCTGCCCCAAGCCTGTAGTATTGCATGGGCCTATTATGACCAAAGTGCGGGACCTGGCACTTGGTCTTGCTGAACTTCATCCCATTGGCCTCAGCCCATTGAGCCAGCCTACCCAGATCCCTCTGTAGAGCCTTCCTTCTCCCAGGCAGATGTACACTTCCTCTCAACTCAGTGTCTTCTGAGACTGCACTCAATCCCCTCATCCAGATCAGCAATAAAGATATCACACAGTGCTGGCCCCAGTACTGACCCTTAGGGAACACCACTCATGACCAGTGGGAGTGGAATGAAGCCGTGCATTAATACTCACACTACAACATCCAACAGGCCAGGTAAGACAACTAAAGTTTTAACTTCTATATGCCTAACACCACACAACAGGCTCACCTACACATAGGCCTTGCATTTACAGCTGCACCTTAGCTTTAAGTGAGTAGGCGTGCCTATACTCTTCCCTTTCCCCTGCAGATGCTCACAGACTTATCATAAGATAGTGGCAGAAAGGCCACTCTTCCCTACGTGCACATTAGGGATTTGTTTCCATCTTCTGCAAAAGAAAACAGACTTCCTGTGAGCAGAACTAACCTTGTATGCACCGCAAAAATACTGATATTATATACACAACATACTGTGTGCTGTGCACTTTTCTAAACTCAGGTTCCCATCCTCCTGTTTAAGAGCTTTAAAAGCTCTACAGATGAGGAATTTAGAAACAATTTTCAAGGCATGGTTACTCAAGCTGGAAGTTAGCTTTTAGCCAGACTTTAATGCAGCTTCCAATATTGCAAATAAAAATTTGCAACTGCAGCTGGGTAGTTTGGTTTATGAAATAACTATATCCATAATCTTCAAGAATAATTGAGAGTTATCTAAAATGTCTGGCACATATAAGTCACTGAGGGATTCTCTACCCTTTGAACAGACAGGATACTTCTATATATTGCCTTCAGAAAGCAGCTCACTAGCAAGATCATAGTAAGTAACTCCCTTTTGGCCTGGTTGGACCCTCTTTTTTTTTTTTTTTTTTTTAATTTTGCCAATGAACAGGGTTCACAGGAGAAAGTACAAATACAGGCCATTTATAAGTGCTTTCATTTGATCCTGCCTCACCTCATGGCTTGACTGGAGGACAGAACAGATGCACAACAGGAAGATAAATATTTTAAGATTTTGATTTTTTGCAGACATAATAACAACACAGCTAACAAGAGGAGACACAAAGTAAGAATATTGTCTAAATAGAGTAAAAAAGACATGCGGTCACTTCTCTTGTATCATGTTCCAAAAACTCCACTGTTTCATGTGCCACAAGTACATCATCAGCCACTGGGCTGCTTTGCGTTGAGCACTTCTGACAGTTGGCCTACATAAGAGGCTGCATTATTATCAGCTTAATGACTGTACAGGCTTGGTTGCACTGACTAGAGTATGGAATAGTTTACCGGATCCTTTTGTACATTTTGTTTTTCATCTGCCAATGAAAAAATGTTCTAATAGCAACAAACAGATGGGAGACAGCATTTGCCAGAGAGGAACATGAAGCCTGTCTCTGGGTCACATTCTTCTGCACTTATAACCTGTAAAAAACCATGGTCACCAGCAAAACTCTATGGAGTATAAAATAAATCACACTGAAATTTGGCTCTCTCAGCTGCAGATTTTTGTTTACTTGTTTACTAAATTAAGTCTTTTAGACGCTCTGCCAGATGATTTTCATAAAACTTCAGGCAAAACTCTGAAGAACTCTGCTGTGAAGTGAGAGAAATACAAATAAGCAAGGCTTGCATGTTCCCTTCTAAGTGGATGGCTTAGCAGGTGTGTCTGTGCTGTGGCTGCTAGTACTGTTCTCATTAGCACCCACTGTCTTGTAAGAAATGTCTTTCTTAGAATGTTAATATTGTTCTGGCTGTATTACTCGCAGTACACATTTATTTTGAACTCCTGAAGAGAATCTCTTAAACTCCTTTCAAAAATTAAAAGCTTTTCTTTATTGCTGTGGCATGCCAGGAGAAGTACACCCACAAATATTTTAAAATTCTCTCAGCCATACCTGTTGATACTGAATTTTTCTTATCCTGAAGTTTTATTCTGAACAAGACCACTATTAAGCTTTCTAATAAAGACTCTTAATGAGATTGTAATTATATTCTTTTGTCTCTTTTGGAGCTTCCTATTGCAAGCATTTATGGCTATGAGTCTCTGTCAGTAAATCTGGAAGAATACCCAGACCCTCCAGGCTCAGTAGAACTACTTTAACAAGTGAAGATATTCAGTGCTTGCAGAATCCTGGACATAGGCTACATCTCCTTCAGTTTAATCTGTCTGACATTGTCAGTATTTTTGTGTGTAGCTGATGACAATGTAGTCAAACTGCTAGACACCTTTCATTGCCCAGAAGTAGTAGAATAAGGGTTTTAAATGTCTGTTGGTCTGAAACATCAGCATGTGATAGTGATATCAGCATGTTCAGTGTTGCCCTTTGAAGCTTGTTTCCTCTACATTGCTTTTTCTCATTAAGGATAAGAGGCTTCAGGGATGACAACCAACACGCTGCTAATTTTTCAGTTACATGCTTTAACAGCTTAACTCCCGCTTAAAATGTAGTTTTAGAGGCACTAGGTGACAGTTAAGTATTTATTTGTTCAGTGTAACCAACTTACCCTCTCCTTTGCCATCCATCCACTCACCTACCCCACATTTAACATCATGATTTCTGAAAACCATAAAAATGATCCCACCTCTTGTTCATCTCTGCAATAGGACTGCGTATAAGTAGTTTGATGGCAATTTGCTTCCAAGGTGCCTGGTTTTCTCTTACATGTAGATTTAAGATATTGCTACATAAAAGACTTAAAGTCTGTCAACACAATGGTAGCAGTGTAGAAGAATTTGTGTAAGATTAAGCCGACATACAGAAAGCAATTAGAAACTACCCATGCATACACATCCACACACAACTGTGGGCAGCTATTTGAGAAGAGGGACAGGTTGTGGAAGCATCTGTAGAAATCCTATTTCCTGATCCATAAGGCATCTATGTAAAACACACGGTACCTTTGGAAGGCAAGATAGCCAACTGTTAGCGTATACTATGTTTGATTATGTTTACTAATAATAACAAATTAACATAATTTATTTTTATGCTACTAGTATGCAATAAAGCTTCAGGCATCTCACAGCAGCAGAGCTGACTGTATCTTAGCTTTTATACTGCAACTGCTGTCCTGGTTGGTTTAATACATGAAACTTGGATGCTTTATTTGTATGCTTTGTAGTTGCTTCTGCCATCTTTGATTAATATCACCTGGAAATCCCAGCTTTTCTGCATGTAGTCACACCCAAGAGGAAAGGCTGACTCAGAAAAGATTAGTGTCACTTTGCTTTTTTTCCTCATCTTTTCTCTGTAAAGGAGGAGAGCTTTCTGATCATGTCAGTGTATTGGTAAAGATAGCCTAGATAGTTGAATACCTTAAGGGCTTCAATCTCCTCTCATATGTACAAGAATTAAAGCTGGTATAACTCTGTTGACTTCAATGCTGATTTATACCTGCGTAAGTGAAAGAAGAATCAAGATCTGAGGCTTTTATGAGTTACTACAAAATTTGGTCTTTTAGCTTGCTAAACAGAAGGCACCAAATTCACATTTCTATTAAGGAGATATTTGTGACATTAAGAATGACTTTTACCAAAACTATTTACATCTGTAGTTTTTCACTGAAGTGGTTATGGAGGTGGCAGAGTTAGGGCTGTATTCACTCAGGCCCAGGAAGCAGATTTAGGCATCTCCATTGCAGCGGATGCAATGGTACTTTTCTTGTATTTGAGCAGACAAACTGCCCTCGATGTAAGAGCTGGAAAAGTGCACACAGGCTGCAAGCACAAGGCTATTAAAAATTCCTATGAAGGTTTGCATTTCCCTTTTGCAAGGCTTTCACCCATGACAATATCTTTAGTGCATGCGATACCTCACATCCAGGCAGGAGCCACC